AATCGAGAACCAATCATTGAACCTCTGTTGACTCGGGTGCAACCGCAACAAACAAAAACATGAACAAAGAACATCTTAAAGTGACGACGCGCACCAGAAACATCCAGGAAAAACCAGCAAAATCTTCCAGAAAAAACAATGTATATCAACGCTGTGTGCAAAAATCCCAGTAGGATGCAAGTCAAAAACTAACAACCATAAGACAATTTAGATTAAAAGTTATCAGGCTAACTCTGTACTTTAACAAACAAACATGGCTTAACCATACGTTTTCGAAATCACCAAAATAAAGCTATAAAAACAATGTAACAGTGATCATAGGAACTGTGATTCACATTTAACAATAAACGATCTATATAGCATGTACGACCAAACTTTGCAGCCATAGCTGGCAGCATGAGTCACTCCATAACAGCAGGAGTATCAGCAGGAGTATCAAATGTATGCAGCACTGTGCTGCGTATATTCATTTTTACCGTCACTTTCTGTCAAGCGACTTTGCGTAATAAATTATTGAATTCAGCTCGACCTTCCTCTACGTTAGTGTAAAAATCCACCTACTCATGAATATTAATGAGGGGTGGGCCTCATGTGGAGTGACGTCACGTGCGAGACGGACAGACATTTTTGGGTGATTATAGTACTAAGGTAATTATTCACGGAGATCATGGGAACAGAATAACAATAACTGGGAACAAGCACGATTTAGGAAAAGTTCCCTTCCATTGACCACATTATGAATCATATTCAAGAAAAGACCTGTTATTTTAAATTACCATTGTTCCTAGCCCTTGTAGAATGATAAAGCATTTAACTCAGTATAAAGCGGTGAAGTCATCCAAGCTGTCACAAACCAATCTATATGAGGGACTCAGTTGTAAAACACAACTGAACATAATATTACATCATTCCTATATTTGGTATTCACGCAAGCCTATCGGAAAGGTGCTATGTAGTTACAACAGTGCTGCAGTAATTTCACATTATGGGGCATTTTTCTTTCGTGTTCTCCCAATTCATTAATTTGTGGGGGATTAAAAGCAAATTGAACTGCAGTGTAAGCACGCAATGGCCTGCTAATGTTGAATGATGTCACTGAGGCAGATGGTGCTTAGTTTATGGTCAATACACCCGCGGTATTAACCGGAATCGAAGCGCGAATCTCTGCAACAAGCAGCACATAACCGTTTGCCGGACCACGTCACCACCCATATATGTACTTAGAACAGCGATTGATAAGTGGCAAAAAAATGTATGAATGAAATTGAGGCAAATGTCAGTGGGTTGACGTGCTTTTGAAAACCTTAACTTGACAGTGAAACGTAATATATCCAAACGAAACCAAAACTATTGAAACTATTTTTATTTTACCAGGTAAGGCCCACTGGGAATATATAGGTATTTTTCAGAAGCGGCATGACCACGAATGACAGCTCAACGAAGTGGCTTATCATGTGGAAATGTTTAGCAGCCAATTACTCTAAACGCATGTTTCTAAATGTCGAGGGGAAAACCGGAGGACCCGGACAAAAAATCCACGCGACCACGGGAACACGCAAATTCCAAAAATACATGCGTTAGGGTTGGTATCCAACCCACGACCCCGTGCTTACCAGGCAAGGTAGTTAACATCTCGCCCCATACACAAACATGCCTAAAAAACAAACATGGGGGGAGGGGGTGGGGGAGGGTGGAGTGGTATAAGAAAGTAAACAGAGAACAAAAGTCAAAATACGTATTGACGAAAGTAAGAAGTATCACAAAGAGACTGCGATGTGAAACTGAACATCGAATACAACAGCACTCGGTAAAAGAATGAGAGTAAAAAAGCGGAACACACAACGCAAAAAAACGTCAAGTTCCAAGTTACATTTGAGGTTTTTTTTTTCCCAGACGAGAAAATGCCAAGGTAAATTCTCACTTGCAAGAGTGACCTCAGTCAACAAAATGACAAAAGCAGAACAGATAAAATATGTACCTTGGTCAGCCGCTGAAGGTAACCAACATTGCATTAATGAAATCAAGCCAAATGTGAATGGGATGAAGTGCTTTTGGAAACCTTAACTTGGTAATGAAAAGTAACAAACCAATAATCAAAAATATGACCGTTTTATGTTTCATCGGTGAGAATTACTTGCGATGGCATACGGCTCAGAAACACGGTCGTTAACGAAAATATGGAACAGAAATATACAAATTCAGTTCTGAGCATTTCACACCCACAGTGTCCATGGATTTTCAGGAGCAGAACTGCTTGAACGAGTTCCAGCTGTAGATTTGAAGCTTTCGTGACTGCAAGGATTCATATTCTTAGGTTTTTCGGTAAAGTCACGTAGGTAAAACATTAAAATTAATAAAAGTAAAATAAAATAAAAATCACGACGTTTCGGAGGCAACCGTCACAGCCACGACAGCTGTATCATTTACTTGATTACTTGATACAGCTGCCGTGGCTGTGACGGTTCCACCTGAAGACGGAAGCTTGTGTTGCCTCCGTCGTGATTTTTATTTTATTTTACTTTTATTAATTTTAATGTTTTACCTACGTGACTTTACCGAAAAACCTAAGAATAAGAGTTCCAGCTGGTATGTTGAGAATTAGGCTTGCTCCATACACTGAGACAAGAGCTGTGACTGCAGTGAAGATTGATTGTGCCTCAGTCATTCCTGCAAAGCAGTGAGGCGATCTGTATTTTACGAGTATACAGTCCACCACCATTGAACGCCATCAATAGAATTGTGAACAAAACTAAACTTTGCATATGAATATCAGTCGTGGGAATTATTTTGAAATCCCGGTGAATTTTCATTGTGCTACTAATTAACTTTTTAGTGAATATTAACGATTTCTTACAACTGAATGACCCAGAGAGTGCGCAATTTTGCCAGCTCCGAACTGCATAACGCAGCCTATTTGATGACATTTTTACTCATGGAACATCATGCAAATCTGTACCACACCCACACCAGGGTTTCTCCCCGACAGCGTATTGCTTCATACACCTGACAATCCACATTTTTTAGTGCGCTATGCATAGAGAGTTTCCGCCTTTTCCACAGACCAATCACAGAGGTACGTCTCGATCTGGCTTAAGTCTATGCAAACGGTGCAGTCTACTGAAATAAAGTTGAACACAATATCGGTGCCAGATCTCGGTACAAATCAATTCCTTTTATTTTTCGATTTAAAGCTTTCGTGACTGCAGGGATTCATCTTCTTGGTTCTTTCGGTAAAGTCACGTAGAAGGGAAGTAATAAAATAATACAAATAAAACATAATAAAATAATTCTCACGACGTTTCGGCCACAACGCAAGCAGCCGTCCTCAGGTGAAGACCAGGTCTGCCACCCGAACACGTGCCCAATTTTCAGACTGTCAAGGTCAAAAACTATATGGTGTGATCCTATAACCAAATCCTCCGGAGTGCTTGGAAAATAATAATCACCATTTTATAAAGCCTCTGTCATATCAACATATCTCAAAGTGCTGTACGTAAAATAATAATAATAATAAAAACTATTCACGAATATAGATAAAATTAAAGAAAAATACAAACCCACTGATAATAACAAGAACGACGACTCGAAATGCAGACAATGAAAATCAAACTACGATAAAAGCGAATGATAATAACACAACAATCAAATCAGACAACGGGAAAAGCCAATTAATACAATTTGGGTACTGGTTTGTTGAAATCCTAAGTAAATAGGGAAGGCCTGCACAAATAGGTGAGTTTTACGACGTGCTTTAAAAAGTTAAACTTGACTCGGGATTCCCCAACGGAGAGAGGAAGGCGATTTCCACAATCGCCTACCACCATCTATGAACAGGCGTCAGCAGCTACTGCAGGGATACGCTGTGAGCATTACAGAGTAAGACGGGGGGGAACATTGTTGTACAGTACTATGCTCCCCACCTTCACACCCCACACACTGACCAGTGGCGAAGTACGGCGAAAGAACTCTGATTATCCAGGAATGGATAAACACACGGGGTGTACATGTACACAGGGCCAAGGTGAAAACCTTTTAAAATCATTTTTTTACTAAGAAAAATATGACTTTGTTCTTTCATATGATCATTTGAGTATTAACAGCATGAATAATATAACATGTGTATTACCTCTTTCCACGGCAGCTCTCTCGCCTACTTCAGCATTTTTCTTGCTGTGGTTGTTCCACCGGATGAAGATTGCTTGTGTAGCGATCGAAACGTAGTGATTTGTTTTATTTTATTTCTACTTACGTGACGTTACCGAAAGAACCAAAGAGTATGTGTATTACCTTTACCCATTGGTGGAGGGGAGTCTCTTTATATTAAGTTCGCATGCTTGCTTGCTTGCGTACTTGCTTGCGTGCTTGCTTGCTTGCTTAGGACCGTGCAAATCTTTCGGTCGTTTTTTAACCCACTTCCCGTGATCCAATCGAGCTGACATTTTCCACACAGACTCGTTGTGCCAGACAATTAATGTTCGTGAAAAAAAATTCCCAAAATTTTACACTTTTTAGGCAAAATGTTTTAATTTTACATATATTCAAATAGAACTCATTCATGGCTTTGGCTGAACGTCACAGTATAAGAGCCCAGAGCGTAACCCCTCCACAGGCCGCGGCGGAGTAGCGCAGTTGGTAGCGCCCTTGCTTCCCATGCCAAAGGTCGCGGGATCGATCCCCGCGTCCTCCACAGGCGAATATATTTTTAAATCCTTTATATTAAGTTCGCTGCCACGCATATAAAGGATTTATAGTGAAAAACTTTGTTTTTACGGGTTTACTTGTTTTGCTATATATGGCGGTGAAACGAACTGCATCACTGCAATCCTGGAATGGCTATCATTGCATAATCCGTCTAATCTGTGAACGGACAAACATCATTCCACCAGGGCGACCTGAAGCTCGCTAAACCTGCTCAGCACTGACATGCCACTTGAACTGACTGGGAGTGTCTGGAATGCTCGATATGCGTTGTCATTGCTGCTGTTGTGAAGCTGTACTTCCCGGTGTTACTCTCGCTGTCATTGTCACAGAGCCATCTCAATTCGTAAGGGAACCTGTAAGGTCAATCTTGATTTTAAGCTTTCGTGACTGCAAGAATCCATACTATTTTGTTCTTTCGGTAAAGTCACGTAGGTATAAAATAAAATAAATCAGGACGTTTCGGGCGCAACACAAGCGTTCATCATCATTGGACGCTCATAAACCAGTCTTCATCAAAAAGAACGTCATTAACTCATCAGATTCCTCCAGTGTAAATATTCAGATTACGATATAGCCTGCTGAACCTGGAAACCTCTCTCCTCAATTAAGAATGTGCTATTATAATCGTCCCTGCCGGCAGGCAAGGTAAGTTGTTTTTACGGCTGTGTTCAAAGTGGACACGAACAAAGCCTGATTTGCGCGCACAACAGTCGAGTGATTGCCGGGCCACTGCTGTGATTTATGGGTCAGCATGAGCATCGCGATATCGCATATACCTGTCAACCCATACGGTTTACCCATATTATACAGGGAAACTGATTTTTAAGGTCCATACGGCATACAGACGTTTCAATACGGGCAAAAATAAAATTGTCTATTTGGTTGTGTTTCTCCCTTGTGATGGGACTTTGTAGGATTAACTTTGAGATTTATAAGGGCACGGGGTGACCAACAAGGTGTGTAATAATGTACGCACTAATAAGGGGTTGAACAGGTATTGGTATCGGTATGAGGGGAGAATCAATGGAGATTCCATCTGCTCCGGAATGAGCGCGAGGAATTGTCACCGTTGATGCGATCAAGGGATTGACGCACACCTGGACACGGCGCTGTAATACGATAAAAGCGGACTGAAATAAAAGCAGACTGGAGTAACAGCGAACTGAAGTAACAGCGAACTGACGTAAAAGCAGCGCTTAGCCGATCAAAGAAAGATAAATGAGGGCGCGCCACTTGATCATGACCGTCTCGATCCAGGACAATAATAGTTTGCATGTGTAGTGTAGTAGAACGACACGACTGTGGCTCGGTACGGGGGCAGTAGGCGGGTGTCACGGAGGTCGTGTCAGGCCGTGACACTCTGCGTGAACCCAACAGGACACGTGACCGGATAAAGGGGGGCCAGGGGCCCCAGGGGGGTCACGTGGTTGGGGGCTCGGGCCTTCCCGAAGGATCTGGAAGAGGGGCGAGGCCTGGGGCGGAGCCGGCCATGCCGGAGTAGTTATAAGCAGGGTGTGGACGGAGAGCTGGGCTGTTCTGCATTGTCAAGTCTGGGATGAAGCCACCATCTACGATCCTCGGTCTCCGGTCCAGAAATGTAGTATCCCCGTGTATTAGCTAAGTTAGGAACGGTGGTTACCACCCTATGTCGTTAACCTGTTAATGTTAACAGTTACCCGTTGTGTTTAGATAATAAATAGTGTTGCCTCCAAAGTTCAGTGTACGCCTGAATTTTTAAACAGCGATTTAACACAGCATTCTGATCGACCGTATGAACAAACTGGCATAAAAGGTTACGTTAAAATCACATAATCAATACCGTTGGTTTGTATGATCTGTGAATCGTGGGATTTAATTTAAGATCATATTGTAAATTTTCCAGATGGATAAACCCGATCCACTTTGAGCCAGGTGGTGCCGGATCGACTGAGCAGCAAACGAGACACAGCCTCTGTTCACGAGTCACAATAACCATACATGGGCAAGGACGCCCACTCGCTTCCACGTCGAGGGACTAATCTACTTACAAACGTTCGGTGTACGAACGTTCAGAGATACAAACAAACATGTCCGTATGTCCAAGCTGCCTGTTAGGATCGAGAGTCGTAAGTGCAACCGCCGAACTATAGATGGTGGTGGTGTCTGCATCTGCAGAACATGAAGAAGCGGTGGCATCTACATCTGCAGCAGGGATGTGCGGTCAGGGGAGACAGTAGAGGCAGAGCCTCACCTGTCATACTCCAATGAAAATAGCTGTTACGAAAAGTAAATAATAAAATAAATATTAAGAATTTTTTTTCCCCACTGATCTGTGTTATAAATGTCATTTCAATATGATTCCAATCATTTTTCCTAGTCAAAATCGCCAAATTTGCGGAGCTTCGCTGCAAATACAGGGAGAGACGAGAGGTGAGGCAGCGACGCGCTCAGCCTCCCCTCTGATTGCGCAACCCCTCAGAAACTGGATGGAGCGCGGGCAATAAGCGTGTGCCTGTTACGATCTCTCTGTATGTCACCAATGTAATGTTTGTAGACCCCTTCATTACATGTCCTCGCCTTCCATAGTCCAGGTAACTTATTTCACGTATGTGTATAAAGATATTGATGATCGCTGGTCTCGTCATGAAACTGCAGTGAAAAGCGCCAGGGGAGGCAGCTATCACATCTGCCTCACTGAAGGGGGCGTGTCTGACACGCCCCCTTCAGTAAAGACACGCCCCCTCTCGGTGAGTACACGCCCCCTCAATGAGGCAGCTATCGCATCTGCCTCACTGAGGGGGGCGTGTTCTTAGCCAGTGCCTCCCCAGCCATTGACCTCACCGCACGTCACTGATCTGTAGAACATGAAGAACCAGTGGCATCTACATCTGCAAAACATGAAGAACCGTATGTCGAGTTGCCTGGTCGGATCGAGAGTCGTAAGTTCAATCACCGAGCAGTAGATAGCTGTGGTGGCACCTACATCTGCAGAACGTGAAGAACCAGTAGCATCTACAGGAGATTATACAACTTTTAAAGCCATTCCCCGTGTTTAGTGTACATTCCGTAAAACGTGTTTGGAATCGACAGGAGTAAAGTTGGACTTACGAACAAATCGACGAACGAACAGACCTCTGGAACCGAACTTGTTCGTAAGTAGAGGAGTCCCTGTTTAGGGGGGGGGGGTCTCTGCTTAGTGATTTCGTCGGGAGTACGATCGTATCGCTCGATTATTACAGCGCCGTCCCGAATTGAATGGCAAATTCCCCCAGCGTTTTTTTTATTCTAACACAACCCTCTGCCGGATTAAAATTTTAATTAGTAGATTTCCCAAAAAATGTTCGGTCCCTATTAAAGCGTGGGGCACTTTGGGTGAGGGGTTACTCGCGACGACTGCTCGCGTTCTCTTTCAATCGCCAAATCTTTACCAGAATTTAAGAATCGCTGCCATAGACGATTGGAGGTGACGAGTCACGCGACTCGCTTTTCAATGGACAATGCATCTTCCTAAAGACCCAAAAACACCCGAGGCGTTTGACAATTCCTCCGTGTTCAATATCGCGGTCGGTCAGCAGAGGGCGATGTTAATATGGAAAGCAAATACCTAAATAAAGTCGTGGAGTACAACGCCATTTTACATGTTAAGCGCGCAATACTCATCTATCAAGTGATAAAGTGTTTGAGTGTCTTCCATGGACAGCATGTTACGAAATTCACGTACTCGCAATCTGTTGACAAAGGCTCTTGCGCAATGCACTGCAGATGCGATCTTGTCAGCTGTACTGACACAAGTGCATTCAAACGCTTTTCGCGAAACGTAAAGGCATTGCGGTGGCAAACATCGCTACATTTGTAATGGAGAGACGAACATCCCAGTGGAAGGTGAAAAATAACAAAACATATTACGAATGGGGTGGACAAAATATATTGTCAGAAGTGGGATTCGAACCCACGCCTCCAGGGGAGACTGCGACCTGAACGCAGCGCCTTAGACCGCTCGGCCATCCTGACTCTCTACGAGTCTACGGGCTCTACTCCAAGAGTGAGGGCCATCGTTGGTCTACCCAAAGTATCCCATAAAATGGGATACTTTTTACGGTAAAGTCACGTAGGTAAAAATAATAATAAAATAAAACAATAATCAATGAAAATAACTCAATTAAATCACGACGTTTCGGAGGCGACACAAGTCTCCGTCTTTAGGTGGGACCGTCACAGCCAAATTTACTGTATCAAGTGAAAGTAAATTTCAAACTTAATTTGGAGCTTTCGTGACTGCAGGAATTACTCTTTGGTTCTTTCGGTAAAGTCACGTATAAAGATAAAATAGTAAATTTGGCCGTGACGGTCCCACCTGAAGACGGAGACTTGTGTTGCCTCCGAAACGTTGTGATTTAATTGAGTTATTTTCATTTATTATTTTTTTATGCTATTATTATTATTTTACCTACGTGACTTTACCAAAAAAAGCCTAAGAGTATGAATCCTTGCAGTCACGAAAGCTTCAAATCTAGAATTACTTTTTACGGGATACTTTGGGTATCCCATCAACTGTATTGGTGACCATTGTATTTTTTGATTTGTGTCGAAAGCACGCTCAACCGGTAATCCTGATGATCGAGAGTTTCTCTCATATATGTATGCATACAAATTCAGGAGTTGCCTTGCTTAAATACGTTGCAGGAGTAGATGTACCCATGCAGAAGGCCGATTCGTTGATGGCTTGCTGTCAAGTTATCTCCAGTCAGCAGTGAAACCTGTTAATTTTCATTACCCGCTATCCACTGATGCTTTGCATAGTTACTGACTGATTTAGTTAATGTTTGTAAAATCGTTCACAAATCAAAGGCCCTCATTAACATAGACAAATGAGCACTTACAGTTGAAAATCACCTGTTCCAATGCTGTAATTATGCACGCTTCTGGGCCACACGACATGAAAGGTGTACTCGAATGTTCTATGCGGGGTTAGGGACAGAGGGTCAAGACAGCACATTTGTCGTATTTTTTATTCTGGTGCATTGCGTCATTCCAATGAGCCTTGGATACCAAATATTTTCCAGCATCTGTTAGAACATGAGCAAACACGACTAATCTACCTGGCATTGGTCATTCGACAAATTGCGATAATTATTGTTGCACGGTTATATTTGATCTAGGAACGTGCCCGTGATGCATTGCAGTGCCCGTCTCTCCCCATACTGCGCAGAAGCGGAAGCCTCCGTTGAAGAAGTGGCCGTCGACAATGATGGACTCGGCTTTGTGTTCATAAAACATTCGTCGGTGGCACTGCGCTGGCAGTGGTCAGCAGAGACACACAACAACAACAAAAGACTCGGCACATTCGTCACTAACACTGTGGCCGAAAAGGGAGACAAAACGATGGATATGCTTTTTGTCTCGGTCATAAAGTTATAATAGTAGAGTTCTCTCAATATACCACGAGATACGTTAATAAAGTATATACGTAGCCCTGTCTCATAATGATTCACGGAATTTATCTATCGCATGTATTTCTGTATGTAAACCAACATGAGTTTTCTCGACGGCTGGGGCAGTCTTCAGGATTTCACAGTCGCTTCTATTGACTTTATCTCAAGAGTAGTCCTGGTATATTTTTGAAACTGTGGGGAGTTTCATATCGTGTAAATTACTCGTAAACAATTGCCTTGCGGCAGGACAACGAAGATTAATTATCTGCAGAAAAACAAATGCTATTTTCTTTAACTACATTGTATGTTGTAAGACTAAATATACATGCGTATAACTGACACGAAGCGAATCACTATTTACTAATTAGGAAAGGGCGTCCTCTAAGTGAGTCCAATGAAAATGACGTTATCTTTTGGAGTTTTCCCCGAACTCTTCATCATGAGCTCTGCTGTCAATTATGGAAGCATCTGCATGCAGATGCGATAAGCCGTGGCGAATGAAAACGGAATGTCTGTATGTACAGCGATACCTCGATATGCATATATTCTATATACGAAATTTCAGCGTAACGAGAATTGGATTCATTTCCATTATTTCAGTGGTTAAAATAAAGTTAAAGAATAAATAAACACTGAAACCACTTTATGAATAATACATGTTTCGATCTGCGGTACTGTATCAAAAAGAATAAATGTACGTTTCTTAACTATGTTTCTTTTATTTATGTTAGTTTTTTATACTGTAAAGTATCATATTATTTTCAATATGAATTGTCTTTGTTTACAATATGAACGGTAAGTGATTCAGTATTTATAGTATGAAATAGTTACGAAGGCTGGAAATGCATTCTCATTGTACCAATGTTATACGTTGTTCAATATACGAAGTTTCAATACACGAACGAAGCTCCAGGAGTTCATCTTCCAGGTCTACCGGCTGACAGCCATGCATCCAAGCAGCTCTTCAACAACCGACGTTCGTCGAGTCACAAGATCCTGGGTGCCGATTAACTGCTCGCCATGGTGCCTCGAGACGCGTAAACCACGTCGCGTGCCAGTCAACACTTTGGGACAAACCATGCGCACGGATTCCGTAACTCTTCACAATACACCGTTTGCTTTCGGAACTTAACTTTGGTAGTCTTGTTTGTTTCTGCAACCGTGTTAAACGCAATGAAAGCCGCCGGGTAGCAACAAAACAAAGATCCCCCGTATGGCCTTAACATACTGTTGGGGCAAGTGCTACTAGCGAGCACCGATGAAAGCCGGAACGGCACACAAGGGAGTGGGGGGATGGCCAGCACCACGGCCGACCGCCTTTGTCTCTCTAGTGGCAAAGTTTACACACCGCGCTAGGTTACAATTTAAGGCTGAGTCGACCTAGGAGAGGCCCAAGACCGGTTCAGATAATCGTCACTGGTGTTTGCCGCGAGCGAGAATCGAACCCAGGTCGCCGGGTTTGTAACGCATCGCGCTAACCGCTACACTACCACTCCACATTACTGTCAGAGTAGACTCCGTTTGCATATTCAAACGTTTTTCTTCTCCGGTCCAACGTTTGGGCAACGCATTATCAATGTGTCTGGTTTTGAGTGGGTCAAGCCCGTAAGAGCAATGCAACTCTATACAGTGCAAGAGTTTCGTTAATTCACATTTGATTATCTTTATGAGAGTTCTAATGCCCCCCCCCCCGCCCGCCGCTACGAACGGGCCGATCTAAAATACATAACCGCTTTCAAACCTCAGTTGGAAAGCGTTAAAATGAGACCAGAATGCGCTAAAGACCGGTAAATATCGTCAGAGAAAAGGCCCTCTGTGAATGGGGCTTGCACGCAGTGCGCCTGCTCAAAGACAGCTGCTGCCGGACGAATTTCGGCACCGGTGGAGTCCACAAAGGTGCAAAATAAATAACTACCCGCGAGAGATAAAAGAGACGGGTTGAAGCGGGCACAGTGTGGAAAATAACTCCCAACAAAAAAGGATAATACACAAAAACATGGTTGTCCGAATCGTGCTTGAAGCCTTGCAGGCAGCAGCCGTGCAGGGGCTTCACGGTTGCGCTTTGTGGATCTCCCGTGCGTTTTCGGGGTTGTACCGCGTGTTTTTTCCCTGCATGATGTCCGACGTTTCGCTCCACGTGCTGGAAGCTTCTCCAGGAAGTGAAGCTCCGAAAGTAACTGAAGTTCAAGCACCCAGCAACATGGAGCGAAACGTCAGGCATCATCGCAAACAGCACGCGTACAATCCGAAAACGCATCTGAGACAGACATAGTGTGGTTTAGTACCCAGCCATGTGGATTACTGTAACGGAGATTAGAATGGCCTCTCTTGGAATTATTCGCAACAGAACTGCAGTGTGACCTTATTTAAAGGGAGCAGACGAAAACATTAGGAGGCACGGCAGTCAATGTTAAACCCACTTTGAACACATTTCCAACGCTTAAAGCGATACAATCTGCTTTTGTTTCAAATCAACAAACATAATACAGCGTCCTATATATGTACCCAGTTACGGACTGGGACTAAAAATCGGCCCAAGCATTTGTAAAAACACACCGGCCCAAATTCGGAGTATGGGCAATTGTTTTAATGGATTGTGCAACGAACTGTATCCAAGCCTGGTTTGAGACGTCATTTCTTGATTTTGCCATTCGGTCTCATTGGCCAATTTGGGCAGGTCAAGAAAAACAAATGGGCCGGTGAGAAATAATCTTTGGGGCTGCCAAACATGGGACTTAATGCCAACCGAGAGCGTAAATAAGCAATGAAGCGTAAACATTAGAGGTAATAACATATTTTCAGAGTGTTTTTTTTACTCGGATTACACTTGCAGTTTCCCACACAGACCGACCTACCGGTCCTTAAAATGGACCGGACTGCCCTGAAGCCAGTCCGGGCCTTTCTGTACCGCAACATAAAAAAAATCTAGTATTTTGCACATTAGAAAAGCTGCATTTCATTTTCTTAGGTTTTTTCGGTAAAGTCACGTAGGTAAAACATTAAAATTAATTAAAGTAATTAATTGTAATGTTTTACCTACGTGACTTTACCGAAAATTAATAAAAGTAATTAATTGTAATGTTTTACCTACGTGACTTTACCGAAAAAACCTAAGAATATGAATCCTTGCAGTCACGAAAGCTTCAAATCTAGAATTACTGCATTTCATTCTCTCAGAGTGCAACATTTCAGCCGGATTGGTTGAACCAAAGGAAACTCTGGACCGATTTAGACATACAATGAATGGGGTGCCGCGATGGTGAGATGTTATCTCCCACGCATGGTATGTAGGAGGTTCGTGGGTTCTATATTTGGACGCCTGTGTAATTGGAGTTTGGATGTTCTTCCCGTAGTTGCATGTATTTTTCTCCGGGTCCTCCCGGTTATTCCCTCCACATTTCTAAACGTGTTTAGATTATTTATCTGCTAATATAATTCCCACGTGTGAAAAGCCACTGCGTTGAGCTATCATTTGTGGCTAAG